AAACACCTTTGGAGACGGCTTATGGTAGAGAAATGAACATTCAATTCACGGGCAGCAGCTTTGGTGGACATTCCTGTATTCAGCATGCCAATTGCACGCTCCCTCAAAACTTGCGACATCTGTGGCATTGTGCTGTGTGATAAAACTGCACATTTTAGAGTGGCCTTTTATTTTGGCCAGCCTAAGGCACACCTGTGCAATAATCATGCTGTCTAATCAGCATCTTGATATGCCATACCTGTGAGGTGGATGGATTATCTCGGCAAAGGAGAAGTGCTCACTAACACAGATTTAGAAAGATTTGTGAACAATATTTGAGAGAAATAGGCCTTTTGTGTACATAGAAAAAGTCTTAGATCTTTGAGTTCAGCTCATGAAAAATGGGGGCAAAAACAAAAGTGTTGCGTTTATAATTTTGTTCAGTGTATATACATTTAATCTGACACTTCACAAAAATAATAATGCATAAAGAAATCCTGAAAATTAATTTTTGGTAGTTGTGATCAGGACTGTTGGTTAAAAAAATGTTAGTGAAAGCAGGCAAAAAAAATCTATTTTTATGATAATTTTTTGACAGACCTCTATGTAGCTTTTTTAATTGATACAGGGGTTAATGTATTGTCATAATTATAAATGCATTGGTTTGTAGCACAGTTTACTGCACATAGTTGTTGTTCTAGTTATTTAGTGGCTAACGAATCAGAAGTCTCACACATTTACAGAAAATAGCTTACTTCTGCATTGCAAAATAAGGTGGATATTCACACATGCTAGTGTCCTTCAGAACCAGACATTCAGCTAATTGACACCAGAACTCATTTGTCTGGCACCCAGAAGGTGGTGCATGGAAACACAGCTGTGCTGTTGCGTCGCAACCCTCCAAACAGCTGCACGCTGGAGCTCTTTCCCACCGTGGCACCACTAGTCAGTCGAGAAACCGTGAATGACGGTTCATCACTGTCACTGGATGTCTCCATGCTTCCCGAGCCAGTTATTCAGGATTGTTTACAATTCCCGTTCTTGTTAAATGGCATCAGCTAAAAAAGTCATCCGAGCTCTGTGCGTGACGGATCTCGTAAAGTTGTGCCAGAAATGCTGAAACCTTATTCAATTTCACATCAACATGCATATGAAATGACATCCCAATAGGAGCCAGTCACAAATATACACGTTACGCAAACATTGCGTCACTAAGAATCTTTGTTGATGAGTTTAAAAAGTGCTAAACTGGTGCTTGGGTGCTGCGTCAACATTTTTACCCGTTCAAGGTCAAAGCACACCTGACGTCTTCACCGAGCACGTGCCTCGTTTTGTCGGAGAGATCTTAGTGCTCCTTCATCACTGCTCTTGACACTCAGCAAAATACGAGAAGGGTCAGTGGACGTGGATGGTTTTTATAAGCCCTGTGGTGTCTTGTAGAAGTCAGGCGGCGAATCGATGCCAGGGTGAGAGAGACGGGGCGCATTTCACAGGAGCAGAAGAGAGCTGTTAGATTTACGAGAAGGGTGGACGAGTGAGGGAGGGCTCTCTGCTTTATACAACAGCTAGCTCTGCTGTCCTTATTTGCGTGAGTAGTTCCTGCGTTGCCGTGAAATTACCAGTAGTGTAAAACACGGCCTTTCTTGCTTTGGTGTGATAGCAATGATTGATGTTTGGTGATTACGAGTGCTTTTTTGCACTCAAAAATTTGGTGTCAGTAAGTATTATTTATTTATATTTTTTTATGGTAGACTAATGATGCTGAAAATTCAGCTTTGCATCACAGGAATAATACAATTTTAAAATATATGAAAATTGTTATAAATTGCGATATTTCACAATATTGCTGTTTTTACTGTATTTTTGGGTTTTAAAAAAATGCAGCCTTGGTGATCATATTTTTAAAAAAAATTCCAACCCCGATCTTTTGAACAGTAACAGTCTTTGCAAATGCATCAGCTATTTATAAAAAGTAATGGTTGAAATGGTATTTTTAAATCAACTCAAACTGCTGAACATACACATGCCATTCAAACAGTTATACATTTTAAAACATTATACGTTTGTAATATACATATATACATATTATTTTTTATGATTTGTTTTTTATTATTATTTCTTAGAAAATATTTGACTTAATGTAAATTGTAATTTTGGCATCATTTTGACATTTAGGTTTTTTTCATAAATTAATTTAATTTACATTTTAATTTATAAAAATGTATACATTTATTAATTGCTTAATATACACTATTCAAACAGGGACATGAAACCTATTTTTATAGTCTATTTCTAAAGTTTAATTTTGCCTGGCTGCAGTGAAAAGAAACAGAATTCTTGTCTGTAGATTTCCTGCAGAATTGGGCTACATTTAAACTGTTGCCGGGGGTTGTTTTTTAGTCTGCGTGTTAAAGCCATCTCTAGACATGGAAATTTATTCAACCTGCATATATTAACCAGTTTCTTTTCAGCCACTTTACACATTTTCTAACTCATATTTGCTTCAAAACATTTGATAACCAAAGACATCCTTTAGCATACCTGCAGAAAACTTTTCTTGAAATCTGAAAACAAATTTCTAATAGAAACTTGCAAACTAAGACAAAGAGAGAGAGAAGAACGTCTGGAAAAGACTGGCTCTTTTCTCTCCAGACAGAAGTGGAGGCAGATGAAAGGTTAACAGGGCCTTCTGGAGAGGAGGACGAGATAATAAGCCTGGTGTCACCCAAAGCACTGAGCAAACAAGAGCAAAATTAACAGAGGCGGGGGGAGTGCGTGTTTGACGCCTGGTATTTGGGGGGTTGGTAGGCAATCTGTGTTTCAGATCATTTAGTTTTGAGTGCGTTTATGTGAAATGCATTCAAACCACAACCACCTCCTCCTTTTCCGTGCGAAATGCTGTATTTAACCCTCCCACACAGCGTAACTCGAGGAAGGCCTATCAAATCAAATCACACATTCAACAGAAACTTGAGCTGACACAGACTGATCAATCTGGGTCTCTTCAGCAGCCAACAGCGAACAAAGACGAGAAAGAGAGAGAGAGAGAGCAGAGAAGATTAGAAGAGGGGGGTGAAGGACAGATGAGAGGGGCTAGTTGATCTGATAGAGCCAACCAAGGCCTGTGTGTGTCTGATATTAAATCTTAGTGTCAACACACGAGGACAACTGACTCAATGATGAGATGCAGCAGATGAGAACGTGTGCACAAATACACACTCGCGCAAATGTGAGCAGAAAGTTTGGACGCGTTACGCATGTGATGTGTGTGGAACTGCAAAAGGAAATGCTCACACACATGACCTTTCTGAAGGCTTCTGAGAGCTCTTCAGTGAAGCTTTGGCACCTGCTGCAGTTTCATTAGACTGACCTCTCCATCTCCTCTCGCTCTTTATGATCCTGCTCCATATATGTACAGATTAAATGTTTGAAAGACGCATACTTGTGTGTTACCCATATGATGTACATCATATCCGTGGACTTTTTTAAATCAAGATTTTAGGTTATATCAATATTTATATGAATGCATACCTACTAGGGATGTAACGATTCGCTCAACTCACGATTCGATTTTTTTTAACAAATTGAGATTTAAGACAAATTATAAATTAAATGTGTCCTTTTATTATTGCTTGGACAAATGCTGCACGTTTCTTTGTGAAATTGAAATATATCACTATAATAATCCACTAATATAGCACTTCCATATTATTGCTCTTTTGTTGGTTTTGATTGCTTCTATTGTCCTCATTTCTAAGTCGCTTTGGATAAAAGTGTCTGCTAAATGACAAAATTTAAATGGAATGTAAATGTAAATAATAAAACTAAATAGAAATTTTAAAACAAGCCCCAAATCAAATAAATAAGTAACACAAATAAAATAAATCTCTTCATATAAATAAAATAAGGCTTTGTCTGTGCTCTTTCCTTTTAAAATTAGAGGCAACCACTGCATTTTAATCATGATCCAAACAAAGATGCTGCATAATGCAACATGAGCAGATTTTAATCTAAATTAGATTGTATAATTTCGAAATTTGAAGCAAAAACAGAATGGTTTGACTTCAGTTTTGTAAAACTATACATAAAAAATATCTGCATGAAACAGAAACAGCAGACGAGCTGAACGAGACGCAGATTCACTCTCTGCCAGTAGGTGGCGCTTAATGCATTTCCTTGGTTTCCGCTGTAAACAGCAGCGCTGCAATTATGAACTTTAATATGCATTATACAGAGGCAAGATGAAAAGAAAAAAATACCATTTAAACTTTTCTAAAGACAGTAAGTTCCCCTCAGACATGCATTCATATAAACTCCTACACCTAAATGAATCGCGATTTGTTTAGCATCTCAACTGATTTGAAACGTCACATATTTGAATTGATTTTCAACCGGCTCGCGGTTAATCGTTACATCCCTAATACCCACCATGTTTAATGAATCGCAAGGATTGGGAATCAAGAACCAAGGCCAGTACTGTCCGATTTGTTAATAAATGGTTTTAATGAACTTGTCAAAAAGACATCAGATTAGTGTTGCACTTATAAGTTTTCGTTTTGAATTAGTCTAAAAATCATTCCGAGAAGCTGTTTATGTACTCAGAATTTTTTGTGTGTTTATTTACGGCTCATAAGATGAGTTTTGTAAAAAAATATATAAATAAAAAAGACAATGAAATTTAAATAAATTAAAATGTAATATTCAATTAAGAAAAAAAAACTAGTAAAATGGTACCAAAATATTGTAATTTATATTAAAACATTTATAATATTTGTGACAATATAAACTTTTAAAATGTTACCAAAAATAGTATAATGTATATTATAAATATGTAATATTCTTATACATTTTATTAATCTATGGTAACATTGTTTGGTAACATTTTGTTGTTTCTTTTTTAAATAATTTTTCATTAACTATTTAATTTACTTTTACTTTTTTTTTGTTAATTTATGAATTATATGTTTTCTATTTTTATCATTAAAAATGATTCAATTATAACATGTTCGGTAACATTCTTCTTATTATAGTATTATAATATAAATTTGAATATTTTACATTTTTATATGTATATATACAGTATATATATATATATATATATGAAGAGTTCATTTGCAAAAACCGATAAACGCCACTTAAAAAAAAAAAAGAGCCGATTGCGTGCATTATTCTCCACATATAGCGCGATCTGAACCCTAAACACGTTTTGTCAAAAAAGCCGATTTTTGTCCTACTTTCAAGGCATCGCGAGTTCACGTTTACTGCAGAAACTGACAAGCAACCTTGTTGTTTTTGAACAGAAGCCGATAAGTCCATTTTAGCGAATCAGCGCGCTGTATTCAGGTCAGGTGACAATATATATATATATTTAAATGAAACAAACAAGGAAGATAAGTATTTAGTATTCATGATACCCATCCCTAATGACAGTGTACAGAAAGCAGAATTGTGTGTGGACGTACCCTCTGAGTAGGCCTCTCGGCGCTGAAAGCCTGTCTGAGCAGCTGGATGTTGTTTTTGCCTCTTTAGAGGCCTCCTCTGACCCGGGGCTGCGCTAACGTTACTGTCTGTGGACACTGGGCTGCCTGGACGGTGTCCCACAGGGAGGTTTTGGTATTTCCGTGCTGCTGGCAAATTAGAGGACAGAGGGTTTGCTTAGTTCAGCTCTATTAAAGGCCGCAGATTTAAATACAAATTAATTCAGCTGCTGTAGGATGTACAGCGTTACAGTTAGTGTCTCCATTTAAAACCATTATCACTCATTTCATGAGAAAATATTGGGAAATTTTGGTGGGACACTTCCATATCTTCCATAATGTCCAAGTGAAACAGAATATTCTGTGGAAAATGATGTAGGCTGGGATTGAGTTTGTTCATAAAAATGGATTCAGGAGTAGATTTATATTGTTAGGCCTGTTTTAATTACACACATTAACATCAGGAACATTTATTAAGAAAGCATATACACGTTCCAGTACCTCCAGACACTGGAAGCTGATGGTGGCCTTTCCCAGGATGCTTTGCCACTCGTAAACCAGCATATTCGGCCGCAGCTGCTACAGCTTGGGCAAAATCAGCATCGGTAAAGAAAGATCCGTCCGATGAGCTGACGGCGCTGGAACGACCCGATGAGGCGTTGTCCTCCTCTGAAGCCGAGCCCCAGCCGTTGATCATAGACCCGGTGACAGAGCTCTCCAGGTCACAGGTGCTGGAGGCCGGGGTCTGTTCCAGGCCCCGCAGGAGAGCCCTCTGCTGGGGCAAGTGCTGCTGGTGAGGGTGGGTGTGGAGCTGGTGGACTCGAGCCACCTCCGCATCCATCTCGTCACCCTCTTCCTCATCCTCTTCTTCCTCCAGGCCGTCCGTGTCCAGACCCAGGGGGCTGGATATGTAGCCGTACGTGTGCGGAGGGGAGAGGGGGCGTGGTGGAGGGGGTGGGCTCACCAAGAGTCGCCTAATGGAGGCCGACAGACGTCAAATGTAACAAACTGGAAATGGTTTAAAAAGAAATTGTTGCATTGCATTGTCTAGCTGTTGCAGCTGGCTTACCTGCGCTCGTGTAGGTCAGGGTTATCATGTAGCATGGGCTGCATCTCCTCCTGAGGGGACGGGGTGAGGGTCGCGGTGGACTGGTGACTGTAGGACACAGCGGCAGGTGAGGAAGCAGCTCCCCGTATGGGCGGCGTAGGTCCACGCTCCAGCTCCACCTCTTCCTCCTCCTCTTCCAGCTCGTCAGGTTGCAGATACATACGCGACGGCGGCAAAGGGCACTGCAGGTCTGTGTCATAACTGAAGAGAGAACCAAAGAACATATGATCACTCTGAAAAACTTAAACCACTTCAATCAATTTCTGAACACATCTTGTAATCTTGAGTTTCTCACTAACATATTTTGTGCAATCATCTTAGGATTTAATATTTACTAAAGACTTTTGGTAAGATGCTGTACAAACTGTGACAAATGTCTTTAATATAATAGTAATTATATTTATGTTATTTTAAAATATTATTGTTTAATTAATTGTAATTTAGTTTTGCTGTTGTAATATTTTGTTGATTTATTAATCATTAAATTAATATATTTTATTTTATTAAAGTTATGGTATATACATAAAAATAATAGTATTGATAATTTAATTTTTACATAATTATTTTGTATTCTTTTAATTTGTATTATATGAATATTTTGTTGAAGTATTATTCAATTGAATGAAATTACTTTTATTTTAACCAATATTAATATGCATTAATAATGTTATTTTAAAATAATAATTTAATTAAATAATAATTTTAAAATTAATATATTTTATTTATTTTATATTAAAGTGCGTGTGTGTGTGTATATATATATATATATATATATGAAAGTAATATACATTTCTAATTTAATATGCTATATGTAAATAATATTATTACAATGGTTAAAACATAGGAAATACATAAACTTTGAATGTAATTCCTAATAGATGTGCAATTATAAGCATACACAGCTTAAGTGAAAACCTTGATCTTACCTGTCGTCCATCACGAGGGTGTATTCCTGACACGGTGGTGGATTAACCGGAGGAGGAGGCAACAGTTCGGTCCAATTCATTGTGTTCTGTTTGGCCTGTTTAGTTGTTCGCCCACCTTTTTTCTGTCCTTGACTTCCTGTAAAGTAAAAAAAAGAAATAAAAAAACTCATTCATTGTGATTCAAACAGAGCTATATCAACTCCTAGCCCACAATGCCATCTCAACTCATAAATTAATTTAATTGCAAACTAAAATGTTTTAATAAGCTCTTGTTCATTTCTTTTTCTGTTGGTTTGTTTGCTGAGCTGGATGCATGTGTGAAACAAATGGTACTTTTACACTCAGGAGAAGCAACATTAATGACACCCACATCATAATTTATGCAGTGTACAACGCTTATGTGCATTATCTCTCTATTTATAATTAACATTGCACTCTCCATCAAAAAATGACTCATTTTTCAAAACTAACACTCTTCATTGCACAGAGGAGAGGTAGAGACAGAGAAAAAAAAAGAGAAGCATTGGAGGCCAATTAACAAAAAGGAATTAAAATTCAGAGCCAATGAGCTGTGAGGACCTCCATGCACTCAGACCCTCTCTTTAATTACCTGAACTTCAAATACAATATAAAAATAGATACGATGCATTACGCCGGCAGCATTGCATACGCCGCAGAATGGGCCTCATTTATCTTTGTCCTGCAACAAACACCGGCTTTCTGACAACACTATCCCCCCTTTCTTTGAGTCGGATGGATGAACGCCGGAGTAATTAATGACGGTGTGGTGAATCGCAAAAAGGGAGGGGGATATCCTCCCAATCAGAAACATCCCGGGAAAATGCGTCAGACCTTAGAAATCTGCAGGGAACATGGTTTTAACTAAAGGAATTAGGACTGAGAGAGAGAGATTGTTGCTGCCATTTAAGAAATGCGCTCTTGCACCTCAGAAATCATGAGGAAGAATAGCCTCCTTTTGTTCGGACGTAAATGTTTCTCTTTGTTCCCCGAGGTTCTCAACAATGAGTGAGCGATTTGTAAATGTCCTGTTTTGCATATGATTTACTGCCTCCTAGAGTGATGAAAAGGCTCAGGAATAATGAAAATGGAATACTGTGGTAAATTGCATGCTAACCGTCTACTAGGTTATGTCTGTGTGACAACTTGGCTGGATGGATGGATGGATGAATAGACATTAGAATGATATGATGGATGGATGGATGGATGGATGAATATCTTACCAGAGGTGCTGCTCCCTCTGTCAGAGCTGCTGTAGGTTCCTCCTGTAAGGGCGTCCTGGGCCTGGCTATAGGGGATGGTGCCTGAGATGGGCCCCTCACCTCGATAGTGGTCTAAGGGGTTGCAGTCAAGAGATTCTGAGTTTTAGTTTTTATTATACATATGGGTGAGGCATTATGACCTAGTCCTTCATATACCAGAGCAATTGAAAAAAGTTATTTTGTGAACTAGACGAATGAACGCTCTTATAAAAAGCAGACACTTTATACGAGAACGCTTCAGAGTGGAATATCAGATAGTCGAGTGGTAAAAGGTTACAAAAGGGTTTCAGTCATAAGCTGTTATGACTTGTTGGTGACTGGCTTCAATTGTCTACAAAGTGTGAAATATCACACCCACACACAGTTAGATTCATGCAAGTCGAGTCAAAAAGCAAACACAATGACTTTTTAGTGGCACAATATGAAGCAGCAGATAATAGATAGCTTTGAGCTTGAGTTACATTCTCCCTTATTTGTCCAGTAATCTAAGATCTCTGGCTTCACTCTGTTCTGAGACATCCGACGCTTTACAGCCTCCTCTTTACCTTCATCCCCATCCATCCAAACAGTAAAACAACAACTATAAATATGGATTACGTTTACTAGCAGAGTTGAATTACACATATACACAATATGAGCAACCGTGACAGATAAAGACAAGGTATTAGAAAGTGATGTAAAGGTGCCAGGGAGGCTATCAAGATTCAAAATCGTGTAACGCTTTTATTATGGTCTGAATAAGAGGAGACAATAGAGCAACAAGACAAGAAGAGCAGCAATTTGATGACGCACCTTTGTGGTAAACTGAGAAAAACATGCATGGGTTTCTTTGAAGAGCTTGATCTAGAGTTTAAAATCAAATTCACATAAATCTGCTTGAACTTTTTGGGGACCGCGAGTAAATCTACAAAACTCACCCTTATTCAGTTTGTTCTGTTCCATGACGTTATACTGCAGTGGCGTGTTGATGTCGGCCTGTTTTTGAGGTGTTCCTTGGCTGCTCTTCCAGCTCTGCTTCTCGTTGAGGTCGGCACTTCCTCCTCCACTTCCGCCGCTGCTGCTGTTCACGTTGTTGTTGGCCAGGCTGGACTGGATGAGCTGCGTGGTGGCGTAGGGCGTAGGCTGACCGCCAGGCCCCACGAAACGGCCATCCTTTAGGTTGGGGCTGTTGAAGGTCTTCATCTCGTTGATCTTGTTGGAAAGATCCACGTCGCTGTAAAGGCCCGTGTCGGGAGCCAGCAGGTTGCTGGCCTTGTTGTCCATCTGGTTGCTGTAGTTGGCGATGCAGTCGGCTGGACGATAGAAGAGGAGTAAGACATTTTGATAGCCAAAAGATCCGTGTTTAGGATCTACGGATAAACCTGGAGTCTGATATATTGTATGTTCTGATGTACCGATCAGACTGAAGTGCTTTTAAAATAAGGGAACATTTACAGAAACTCATGGGGAGAAGACACTAGGTTGGTTTAAGTATATGCTAATTAGCTTTATACCAACAAAAATTATGTTTTCAGACAGAAAGTAGATAGTGTAAATTAAAATTCATATATTAAGATAACACTTGTTTCATTAAAATCCCTGCCACTCTACTACGATCCTCCTCTACAGCCTCTCCCTCGTCCACGACACAAGCCAAGCGTGTCACTTTGAGTTTCCCGAGCAGCCGCGAGAAAGGCATCCCAGCTCATCAAGCAGGATGTTCCAACACATCCGAATCAAAAGCCTCCGAAACGAGGAACGCTGTAAAAGACCATCCTCTGACAGATCCAATTTTCCCCGGCTCATAAAATATTCAAATCCTCCCCGGGATCTGAGCGAGAAGCTTGGCGCGTAAATACCGCGGCCTGCCATTGGACGGATTTCGAGCATGGCTCGGGTTTCCATAAGAAGGAATGGCTCTGCACTTCAAAGGTTGACGTATCAATGATAAAAGATCCTATGGAGTGAGACAAACTAAGTCGTCTTTCCAGAGAAGCCCTGTGGGTACTGATCCGGTTAATATCCTGGAGATTTTTTAGTATTTGGCACACCAGGCAAACGGGTGTCAAGCTTTTAAAACGTCACGCTGTGAGAATCACTCAACATTTATCCTTCATCCCTGCTTTGATGAAGGCGACAGGGATAAAATCTAGTGTTAGTGAAAACACACTCCCAATAAATAGATATCAAAGGCAAAGCCAAGCTTTTTGGGTTAAAAAGCCCCATCTACGGTTTCTATGGATGTCTGAACAAACACAAAGCCTAATCCTCAAAAGGCCTATCCATGAATATGGTAGCTAATTTCTTAAATTCAATAGAAAGACATTTTCTAAAAGGATTGGATGCATTTAAGGGTTCCGTTATGAATGAAATACTCTTAGCCAACGGCTTAGTTGCAGCAGCTGATATCTGAGAACAAAAAAGCTCTTGTAGTGACATTTAAATATCATTAAATTAACCAACAGTGACACCACTGTCCAAACTAAGAGTTGCTTTGTGAAATCTGGGTGACTGTGTATATTAACACCACTTTGTCACTTTCAGTGTGCGTGTCTCTTTGGACTCGCGAGTCAACCTGGTGTTCTTTTGTTTGTGAAGTAACTTGCTGACTCCTGAAATAAAGCCACCTGGAGGTGCTCCATCACTCCTTCTCTTTCCTCACCCCCTCTTTTTTCTCTCTCTCAGGTCTATTTTGACCTCCGTAACGGCTCCTGGTTTCCTGAATAAGCGAGCACTTAGAGAAACTGCATTAAAAGGTTCTAAAAGCGGTATGGAAATCAGACGCTGATTGGATTAGCTGGACTACAGCCTGCGGGGCCTTTTCAATATCGGCCACTTTTATTTTCCCTAAAACATCCACGTTCCAACAAATCACGAGCAGAGTTGTGTGTCAAAGGAAGGACACGATACTTGCGCTGCGTTCCATTCAACTTGGAAAGCAGTACTAGAACGCTACTACTTCCAAGTTGGAAACTTCAGTGGAAATGAACAAGCCCAAACTACGAAAATGACGTTGCACAAACAATGTGGTATAAGGGGGAAATCTACACAGTTAATGCTTTAAATCAAATTAAACAAGTCACTGAGTCAAAGTTACCATAATAAAACCTCTTTACATCATTTAAATAACAAACTCTTCCAGAAGTAGTTTTTCCTCATTTGTCACTTTGAATAAAAGCACTTGCTAAATGAGTAAATGCAAAAAATGTGAAATAATCTCTACTTATAATTGTAATTTTGTTCCTTTACACATCATCTTCCATGCATTTTAAACTGAAATGCTAAAGTATGAGATCCGCTAACACGGGATTTCTCACTTGTGACTTTGAATAGAGCGTAGCATTATGCCTTTGTACGCTACTACACACACTCGCTCACACACACCTGGGCGGCTGTACGTGGCCAGGTTGCTGTCGCTGTTTCCATTGCTGCCGGTGCAGCAGTTGATGGTGCAGTCATTGTGATTGGAGCAGCTGTTCGGCCATGTGTCAGCGAGCCAAGGCTGGGTAGCTTGTTCACCTATATTCAACAAACCTGGCCTGGAAAACACACACAATGTGATTTATTACTAAATTGGAAATGGTAAATGCACACGTATGATCATGATCAGTTGTGTTCAGTACTGTTTCTGTTTTATCTTAGAACTGTTATTGCCATAAATAAGGACAGCTAATCATTTGGGCCCGACACAGCACCATTAGAACAACCATTGGTGTGAGTTTTGGGGCGGGGTTAACAGTTTGTCTGACCAATGGCAGGCAGCGGGAAGATTATTCCATTTGGTGGGGCAGAAATGACACACTTCAGCTTTAAACAGGATGCCCATCCCATCTCCTTCTATCCCAGTGCATCTCTCAGGGCATTAGGCTGTATCTGTGCTAAATGGATTGCGTCTGCTTGACTTGCTCATGGCTGATGACACTGTTTCCCCGAGGCCTCGTGACCGTTAGATCTCCGTGTGGCTTACCCAAGCGCTGGAGAACATTGCTGCTCCAGCTTGGGAAAAAAAAACACGAATGAATCGAGCCATCGCTAAAGGAAGAGCTCGAAGCTCTCAGCGCATTCCAGGGTGTCACAGTCAATCAACGTGATCTCAAGTGCTGGAGAAGCTCTGGATAAATGCATATATGAATTCATCCAGTGCCCTTAGTAACCGTTTCTATCAAATCTTGCAGTTAAAGTTATTTCTTTTAAAACACTGATTTATGTTAGGTAGTTAGCTTTCATGATACAACAAGGTCACATTAAAATGCTTCTGAGGAAATAAAGGAGTTGAGGGAACATTTTTTTCAGGGACGCTTATCAAAGACACAAAAAAACATCAAAGAAAGAGTTTTGTGCAATGAATCTTCAACACAATGCTTCAAAGTAAATGTGGCTTCCTCTTCTCTTAGTTCGTTCCGTATCCCTGCAGCATGGTATGTCTCGCTCTTTTATTTTTCTAACAGACTCTTTAGCTTCAAAAGGCTTAAACCTTTCCTTTAGACAAGGGCAAAGACCTGCTCGATTAAAAGCTGGACTCCAAAAGACAACATAAAGGGACAGACACACACTAAGTATCGTCTGCAACTATTCAAATGAGGACAAAGCTGTCACGTGCACATGTGCACCTACACGCACACACGATCCAGTGTAAACTGTTGAATGAATTGGTTGGAAATTATTGCATTAGCAGGGTAGAAGCGGAGGGCTTTGGTCTCATCTGTGTTCTGCAGGGCTCCGTCTCAATGCACAACCTCCAAAAGTGTCTTTGCAAAGACAAAAATGCCCCCTAGTGTCAATAAAATGCAATTAGACTACAGTACACACCCTGCGCATGGCCATTGTTGGCTTGTGATAAATATTAACTTCACTGATTTAAGGTATCAGATCACAAAATGTGTATATTTTTTAAACATCTCACCTTCCAGCACTGCTGACAGCTTCTCCTCCTCTCTGATAGGCCACTGTAGATAAAAGAAATTACAATTAATGAAGAAAAATAACATGGAAAACATATAATGAAACAAACACCTTCCTCTTAATTTCTCTAAAAATTCCTTCTATAGAAGAAGAAAAGTCATACAGATTTGGAAAACATGTAGGTGAATAAATGATGGCAGATTTTTTTTCTTTAACAGGCTAATCTAAGCATGTTTTGTTGGCCTTGTATTTTCTTTCATATCTTATAAGCTCCTCAATTTCGTTCAAAACCAGTGAACGTGTGGAAATAAAGCTTGTTGGTTGCATTTGCTACTAAAAACAAGCCTTCTCTCTCTCAATCCTTCCCGCCCCTCGAATCCTCCCATAACCAGGTGAGTCAACAGCGGTTACAGAAAGATTGCATGAGATGAGAAATAATGAAAGGGTCTAAGTGTCTTTCTCTGGTATGTAAAAGTCATCCAAGTTCAACCCTCACGCTAGCTGGCTGCTCTCTTCGTCTAATTGGCCACGAGACTTCTGATGTCACAGCTTCCCATCCCGTCTGAAGCGTTAGGGTGGGCGCCGGCGCTTTGATCAGCCACTCTGCCAGTTCTAACAGCCCTCTTTAGTCAAGCACTCTTCTCTTTAAGCATTTCCTCCCTCTCTGTCTTTTATTTTTTACTTCTTTTTATGCTGACAAGTCCATGCGACTGAAGTTCTCTTTGATTATCCATGTAAACTCAGACTGGGGTTCCTTTCTTGTGGGGAGATGCATTTTTAAAGAGAGGCCGTGCCTCCCACACTTCATCTGTGTCATATTTGTTTGGAGTTCTGCTATGCAGAACGAATGTGACTGAAGGGAGTGTTGAGGGACACTTCATTACAACGGCTGAGAAACATTATACTGCCGTGCACTTTCCAACTCCACTGGGCGTAAAAGTCATCCAAGTTCAATCCTCACGCTAGCTGGCTGCTCTCTTCGTCTAATTGGCCACGAGACTTCTGATGTCACAGCTTCCCATCCCGTCTGAAGCGTTAGGGTGGGCGCCGGCGCTTTGATCAGCCACTCTATCTGCCAGTTCTAACAGCCCTCTTTAGTCAAGCACTCTTCTCTTTAAGCATTTCCTCCCTCTCTGTCTTTTATTTTTTACTTCTTTTTATGCTGACAAGTCCATGCGACTGAAGTTCTCTTTGATTATCCATGTAAACTCAGACTGGGGTTCCTTTCTTGTGGGGAGATGCATTTTTAAAGAGAGGCCGTGCCTCCCACACTTCATCTGTGTCATATTTGTTTGGAGTTCTGCTATGCAGAACGAATGTGACTGAAGGGAGTGTTGAGGGACACTTCATTACAACGGCTGAGAAACATTATACTGCCGTGCACTTTCCAACTCCACTGGGCAGGAAGTCGTCACACTCTAGGGATTGTGGGAATTCTGGGCATATGTGCTGTGAGGAAGGTGTGATTACCTGTGGGGGTGAAGGTGAAGGAGGGCACTGCAGACACACAGAACAAAGAGAAAGAAAAAGAGTACATTAATTATTCATCAGATTCATAATTATTATTCAAAAAATGTATTATTCATCATAGCAGTAATGTGCATTAAACTTAAATATTTATGCAGTTATTGGAAAAAGTTTTCAAAAAGGCACTTGTGATTATATTTTACAGTCTCCGATGTAACGAATCTGTTACCAATTACTCAGAACATTGAAACCTCATCACAAATACACAGTTCATTTCATTCCCCTTGTCATCTGAACTCTGTGGTTTAACAGTTGTGGGTTTGTGCGTCTGATTAATTGTATATATATCAGAGACAAGAGAAAAATATTGATATCTAGAGTTTCTGAAGATAATGTCACCGCAGTGCTAGGATTTTGTAGATGGTTGCTATTTTAGCATGTTGTTATGCAGTTGCTAGGGTTTACTCGCCCAAGTAAAAAAAAAAAAAAAAAGAGCTCACTTTACTATATTCTGGTCTCTCTATGGCTTAATTGTAAATAGAAATAATTTCCCCTCTATATTATAAATTTTTACCATACACTAGGTGAAAAATCTACTGACATTTGGTACAAAATCTCCACTTAATTAGTCATTTAAATATTTAAACATTATAATAAATCATAATATTTAATATTATATCATATTATTATAAAAATATTATAATTTTATTAATGATACATTTATATTAATATAATCAATTATAAAACAAATAATACTAATGTATTTTAAATGAATATAATAAAAAATAAACATTTATATTAATATAATTTTAAAAATTTATGAATTAAAGATGTATTTAATAATGTACTAATTAATTAATTAATTAAATAAAATAAAAATATTTAAATTGATATAATTAAATATAATAATAATAATAAACCCAAACATGTGACATGTAAATTGCACAAATTCATGCCAGGTTCTAACAGTGTACTTTATTAACTTTGACTTAAATCTATTATAACATATGCCCTTGGTCTGATGTGAAATCTAGTTTCTTTCATGTTGATCAAAGGCTCCAATAAGCAGATGAACACGGCTTAATCAATTAAGCGATATGGGGTCAGAATTCATAATAAACAGCCCATCAGAAACATCAAAGTATCTGTGCAGGAAGCTGCTGCTCGTGATGGCGTCAGGATTGGTTTTTTGGCAGCGTTACACCCATACATCAGAATTCAACACCTGCTGTCTTCACCTTCTCATCTTCGCGTATTTACGGGAAAACAACCTTTAAAATTGTCAGCCGTTGCCATCCTTTTCAAATGTCACATTTATCGGCTGCGCTCATCTGCTTCTTGGCAGTGCTTTGAGTAAAGATGAGTCTAATAGATTGGGCCGTTTTTTGATGATTTTATCATGTATGCATGAAGGTTTTGAAGCAGAAGTAGAATGATGCTTGGCAGGCCAAATGCAGCATGGGAAAAAGATCATTTGATGGACAATAAATAAATCAAATCTCAGGAGTCTGGGTATGATCAGTGTTTTTAATCAATTTAACACACATTCACAGCTAAACGCACATGCACATCACACACACTGCAAGATTATCCATCTCTCCCCATCACCCTGTTTCACCCGGAGAACAGATTACCACTTCATGTATTACTATTATCCACCTCTGCTCAAACAAGTTCATGCTTAAGAGACTCGCAGCTACTGGTTCAATGTGCCAAGCGTCCTTTTTGCAATCTCGCTTGCGGCATAAAAAGGCACTACTTTTCAACATACCTTCTAAGCTATATTGTTATACCATCATGCATAAATTAGGGCTCAATAAAGACTTTTCCTGCTGGATATGTACTGAAAAAAGAAAAAATATATA